CCAAAATAAAAGATATATGTCATATGGGGTCTAGTTTCTCTTTCTTTTAATAAATTGAAATATTTTTATTTTACAAAAAAAATATTAGCGCCAATTGATTAATTATATTTAAAAAATTTTCCAAGACCCGATCTGGTCTGAATTTTAATAAAAAAAATTGGGTCCGATCCAGCTAGAACCCGATTTTTTTTAAAAAAAGCTACCTGGCCGGGGTACGGGCCTGGCTTACTTTTGAAGATCTCTAATTCATATCACTTAATATAAGTTTATATAGGGTGTATATTATAATTATATATTAAAATTTTTTTTTTATAAATTTTATAAAAGTAATTAAAAAGATATGAACAATTAAAAATACTATTTTTTTATAAGCCTATTTGACCTATTAACAAGGTTTTCAAAGTTAAATATTGTTTAACCAGGGCTTTAGAAGACAAAATAGTGTTGTACCTCAAATTTTTTTTAAAATATGTTTTATTTATGTAAGAAGAAAGAAAGAAAAAAAAGAAGAAAGAATCCTCTTTTATTTTTGGTATCAAGATATACGCGATACCGCCCCAACTTTGGCTATATCTGGGAATACTCAGTTTAAAAAAATACTTAACCTTTACAAACCTACATTAAATATTTCCAAACCAAATCAAAGCCTTCATAAAATTATAAGGCTTAATCTGAACCGAACCCAAATTATTGTTTTTATTCTGATTATTGTGCTTACAATATATTTAATTAATTAATTGCTTTCTTCATTTGTTATCCCAATAAAGTAACCATACAAATTTCGAAAGTGATAAATAAGTAATCACTTTTATTTTTTTCGACTAAAAGCTATTATTTTATATAACCCCATTTTTTACCTCATTGATATTTATATAAAGTAGCTAAGTAGCAAATAGATGTCCAAGCATTTTTGCCCGCTATGTGTAAAATTTTTAGGCTTACATAATGTTATTTTGGTTATAATCTTAATCGAGCCGTTTTTTTTAAATCAACCCGAATCGGGGTTTTAACAACACTAGGGTTGAGACAGTTCTAAAACACCTGAGTGGTAAAATGACACATAACGATCCCGCCTGGTTTATGATGTTATGATTGGCTAAGAATATTTGCCACATAATCGACGACAAAATAAGCTATAAAAGGACGGGTTGTTTGTTGAATTAAATTTGATCATGTTTACTATTGCAGAGTAACCGTGCTATATTTAGGGTTACATTCTATAATAAATGATAGATTAGAATTGACACTTTTCAGAACTATGTGTACATTTTTATTTTGAATCCTTTACCTCACCAGTCCTTGTCCGGTCTTGTCCTTCACTGGGGAAACACACAATTAAGTGGCTTCCACCATCCAAAAGAGAGCGTATCCAGTGCAGTGGATTTGCATCAACTGTTTGGTAGTTATTTACCCTACTGTCAGGGCTCATTTAATTAAAGAGGAATGATGGTACCTCTCGTGGATAAGCGAGGATCGACTAAAAGATTTTTTTTTGACAGTAATTTACCCTACTGTCAGGGCCCATTTAATTAAAGAGGAATGATGGTACCTCTCGTGGATAAGTTAGGATCCACTGAAATGATAGTAGTAAAGAATAAGTAGGGAAAATAAATAAATGGGAGATATTAGTGTTATTGATATAAATATGGGAAAAATATATGTATTTTATTTATTTATTTAATTTATATTTTTAAGATTAAGGCGGCTTGATTTAGCCATTTTTTTAATTGTTTTTTGTTATGAGAGATATTAATTAGGAAAAGGCTGTTGACATCATTCTTTAATAAAATGTGTATGGCTTGGCCATACCAAGTTTTAGTATTGTTAAAATATTCTTTTTATAACATTTTGATTTGTGTTTTAAAGCTTTAGTAATTGTACTAGTATGGTTATGTCTTAGGGTGTGACATAATAATTCTATTTTTATATAATTTAATAAGTTGTTTAATGGAAGGATGTGACAAAGTTGCCAAAGATTTGCGTTAGATATAATAATGGGATATTTGATATTGAGGATATTTCTAAGACATTTATTGATAAAAATTTGGGGTTTATTTAGGTTTGATATGATGTTATCCCATGTTTCAATTCATTACCATAGGTTAGAGATGATACTATATAGATTTTGAAGATATGAATTTAAAATTTTTTTGAAATTATATTTGAGTTCCATAATTTATTGAGTGAATAATATATTTTTTTAATTATGGATAATTTAGAGGATAAGTTGGCTTTTGTTTTACCTTTGTTGTCGATTGTAACACCTAAATATTTGTGACAATTTGTAAATTGTAATATATTATTATTGAATAAAATATTTTGATGGGTGTTTGAGTTTGATAGAATTTTGGTCTTTTTGAAATTAATTTTTAGATTCATATTTTCCATTTTAATTGCAATGGATGTTAAAATATTTTGGATGTTATTAAAATCTTCGGTGATGATGCATATGTCGTCTGCATAGCATAGCCAGTCGACGTTTTGTAAATTGTAGGTGTCTATAATATTATTTATTAGTAAATTAAAGATGGGAGGTGATAGGATGCAATCTTTTATACAGATTTTTTGTTTGAAAGAAGGAGAAATTAGTCTATTGTGTTTGATAATAGTTAAACTATTTTCGCAAATGTTCATTATAATTTTAATAATGTGATTATTAATTTTATATTTGAAGAGGGTGTCCCAAATTGAAGTATGGCGTACTGAGTCAAATGCTTTTGAAATATCAATGATTTTGATATATAGGTTATATTTATGAAAATTAGCTTTCTCAAGTCTAATTTTTAGGGCTGAGCTTAGTTCTATTGTATTTCTTCCTTTACGGAAGGATGCAATACTACCATTTGTGTTATTGTCAATGTTTTTTATTATTAGGTTATATAGGAAATTGGTTAAAATTTTGTAAATAGATGAGGTGAGTGTTATGCCTCTATAGTCACTAGGTAGTTTGGAAAAGGGATTTTTGGAAGATTGATAATAGTTGATTTACATATTTCTGGTGGTACTTGTGTTTTTTCCCAGATTTTGTGTTGGGAAGAGGATTTTAGAAGTTGTAGTGGGGAATTTTTTTAGAATTTCATTTGATATGTTATCGGACATACATAGATATATGATTTTTTAGTTTGTTGATAGAATTAATGATGTCTTTATGTTTTAAAGGAAAAGGAAGATGTGAGTTTAATTGTTGTAAGGTTAGAGATTTAATAAAAGGGATTTTACAGTTAATATTTCTGTAGTGATCGATGAAATTGGTAAGTTGGTCTTGTGGGTTGTTTATAGTGAATTGGCTGATTTTTAGGTTATTAATTTTTTTATCATTGGAATATGTTAAGAAATTTAAATTTTTAAAAGCATTATAAAGATCGTTTTTATTTTTAAAATTTTGTATTTGGTTTAATTTATTGTAAATATATTTTCTTTTATCTTTTATTATAGATTGTTTGATTTTATTAAAGAGATTTTTTATATATTTATTTTTTATATATTTATTTTTTATATATTTATTTTTATTTTTTTAAAATTTTTATTTGGTAATAAATTGATAAGATGATGTGACTGGGCTAATCCATTCTGGATATTGGGTTTTGATATTTAAACTTGAATTTGCGGCTTTTACAATTGAATTAGAAATATTTGACCATGAGTCATTATTATTTATTTGTTTTAAATTATTATGAAAATTGGTGAATTGAGTGGGTAGGTTTAAGTTATTGATGTTATATTTTTTTGGGGTTGAAAGTGTGTAATTTTTGGATTTTATGAGGTTATGTAATAATTTTGGTTTGATAATTAAAGTAAGAAATAGTGATCTGTGGTCAGATAGAAAATCAATATTGTTAAGAATGTTAATATTTTTTATGTAAAAACTCATTTTTATGCTTGTCATAAAAAAATCTAGTTGAAATTTATAAGAAGAGTTGTGTTTAAAGTTAGTAAAATAATTATTGTTTTTTTGTTTAAAAAAAAGAATTTATAATTTTTAAATTGAAGAGTTTACAGATTTCAATAATTTTTTTAGCATTATCATTTGTTTTTTGATTTAATGTAGCGTTACCTATATGAATGTTTGTTATTTAATTGCCTTTTCATGTTTAGATCACCGACAATTATGATAATATGATTTTTGTTTATATGTCTAATATGGTTTTTTAGTTCAGTTATAAATTTGGGATATTCATTTAGTTTTGCGGGTGCATATACGTTTATTAGATGGATTTGTTTTCCTTTGCTACTGAGTGTAATGGATGATATTCTGTCGTTGACTGGATTGAAATTTTTGGTCGATTTTAGAAAGTCATCGCTTATAGTGAATGATAAACCATTTCTATTGTTGGAGGTGTCTGAAGTGAAAATGGTGTATCCTCTTAATTTTTTGATTATGTTGTTGTTAATCATTGTTTCTTGGGTCATGATTATTTTCATTTTTTTTGTTCCATAAATTTTCTTAAAATGGTTATTTTTCTTAAAAATCCTGGAATATTGAATGAGTAGATTTCGAGTGTGTTTTTAAAAGACATTTTAAGGTTTATTGGAAGAATTTTCTTGTTTGGATAGAAAAAATAAAACGTCTTACCAGTCCTTAAGACCTATCTATACCCTAACCACTCTAAAAAAGAATGGATCTATATTGACATATGTCGAAAGTTCTGTGCATTTTTATTTTAGGTCCTCTACCTCATCTGTTCTCCATGTCAAAGCTATTACTCTTAATCTTAACCTAGAGCAAATCCTATGACTTTAAATAATTATATTTGTACTAATGAAATAAGACGATAAAATTTAAAAAAAGTCCTATTAGTTATTACTTCAGATTTCGATAAATCTAAATATCTGACTAAAAATTAATGCCGCCAATGCCAGAATAAATATAATATCTGATTATAGTGGCTTAATTTTTTACATTTAAATTATAATTTTTCTTATAAACCTATAATTGGAATCTACAAGACTCACGAACCAAAAAGGGTATAGAAAATTTTGGGCTATTTTAGCATTCGAAATATTGACATAACATGGACGTTTTTTGAATCTAAAATGATTGGTAATATGATCGAAAGCAAAAATAATGAAACTGATCTTTGCAGATGTATAAAATTTTGTTTTATTTAAAAATATTATAATTATCTTAGATGACATGTACGATGTTGTTGAGAAATATCTGGATGGAGAAGTTACTTTGGATGAAGGGAAATTGAAAATAAAAAAATTAATAGTTTAATATAAAAATAAATTTAGTTCTACTTTATTTATAATTACAGGATGAAAAAGAAGACAATAAGAACATATTTACAGATTTATTATCCTTAATAGGTATATTTATATTAAGAATATCTTTTTCTTAAAAAATTATAGATATAGAAATTCAAACTTCAGAGTGCAAAGATAAATTATCTAAATTTGCTATTCTACTTTCTTCATTAAAGGTAATAATATTATTTATATTAAGCTGTAAAACTTTTTTCTATAATAATTTAAAAATGATACTTTTAACAAAATTCAATTTTTCTATATTAACGTTTTTGATTAAAGAATAACATAATACCCACTCAAACCATATTAAGTCAACTTGATTTAGAGGCTTTGGAACAAGCTCATTTCATACCCTCAACTAAATTATATCATCAAAAAACTGTTCGCATGAAAACCAAATTATTGTAATAATTTTGACATAATTATAAAAATTTCCCTTAAATTATTTTTTTATATATTGTTGAAATAAATTTTCATTTAATTTTTGATAAATGAATAATTTATTTCTATAACTTATTTGATAGATTTTTTCTTAAAAGCTCCTTTCTTTATTTTATTTATTTTTTATATTAAATTAATTATACAATTAATACAACAAATAACAACCTTTGCTGTCAAAGCACTTATAAATTTGCAATTTTTTTTATCTGTCAAATACCAACCTCTTATATAATATTAAGATTAGGAATGAATTTCAATTTTTTAAAAGTTAAATTATGTATAATATTTATTGTATTCTTATATTCCACTACACAAAAGTTACAAGCAACAAAAATTCAATTTATTGCGCGAGGAAAGTGAAGGATATGCCAAACTTATTTCCCAACTCTTGCAATATCATCCAGACAGAGGAATCTCCTTAAATAAGACAAAAGAAATTGTATCGCAACTCATAGGTAATATCATTGTTTATCTAATCTTTATTAAAGTGTGCTCATTATATATGGTCAAACCACATGGGGTTGGCCATTCTTGAAGAATATGCACATTCCATTATATAAACTTTCAATTTAAATTCTACTTTCTTAAAATATATAAAATAATAAGCTTACTTTATATTTATAATTGGATCCATTTTCACTACTACTGGTTCAGATCTTAATTATTTTCCTAATGCCTGGCTGAATCTGGGTTCAGTATTGTATTCCATATAAAAATTTTGCAAACTAACAACTCTTATTTATAATTTGTGAATAAATATTTTATTTAATAAAATTAAGACAAGGATCAAAAAAATTAATCTAACACAAGATCAAGATATTAAAAATTTGTTGATTATACTTATTTTAAAGATGAATACCATGTGTCTATATTAAAACTGACACCAATATCAAAAAAATTTATCTTTCTTATTTTTATCAACTTTTTCATTTTTAGTTAATTTATAAAATTAGAATCAATTAACAGTAGAAAAAAATAACTTCACCTTCTATATTATTGATTTACAATTTTGGTTTATTATTCATTATTGGCTTAATGTTGAGGAAAAAAATTATAATAATTTTTCAAGTTGATTTATCTATGAGTATTGATCACAGGCAGTAACATCACTAGGAGGTGTGCAGGGGCTCAGCTCCCTCAAAATTTTGAATTTTTTTTAATTAAATTTTTTGAGCCCTCTTAGATTGTAAAGGCCAGTAACACTCTGGTCACTGGTATGAATTAAAATTGAAAAGTCAGTTAACTGCCAATATTGATCAGTGCATCTCAGCATTGTTTATCCACAATAAATATCATTTTATCAATTATTTAACCATTCATCATGAATGTATAACTTATATTATTTAATACTAAAAGTTATATAATAATAATGTTAATTAGTTTTTTTAAACAGAGAAATTTATAATATTTTTGACAGAATTTGACTTCTACTATAGCTATCTATAGCGCCAACTTTGAGTATTAATAATTCACTTAATTCCAAAACAATAGTGTGAGTAAGATCATTGATTTTTTATAATGTTAATTACAATTATTAAACAACTTAATTTAAATTGTTCTTATATTTTCAAAAAATTTCATCTAAAAAATTTTATATTAAAATACCAAACAAAATGAAGAGTTTATTGGTCGTATCAAATGTATCTATCACATAATAATTAAATGTAATTATTTAATAAGATGAAAGTAAAATAAAATTAGGGTTGTGCATATATTTTTGCCGATATTAAAATTATATGGTTATAAATGTGTATATCTTGGAATTGCTACAAGGTATGCAGTAAATTTTTAATGTATAACCATCTTGGAATGTTAATAAAACTTTAAAATAATTTATCAAATGAAAATATTTTAATGAAGTCATCATCGGCAAATGAAATAAGAATATGTTGTGTATCAGTTTAAAAGAAAATTTCTTGATTTTATCCAGTACAAATTCTCTGGTCAATTCTGACACCTCCATAAATAATTTTGTTTTTTTAAAACAAGTTTTAGTTTTGTATCAATATTCCTAGATGGTTATGCATAAAAATTAGCTGCCAATCTGCGAATTCTAAGATATGTACATTTATAAATGAGTCATTTTAATATAGGCAAAAATATAGGCATAGCCCTAATAAAAACAAATTGCAATACTAGTCATTTATGGCTATCATATCCCCACATAAAACAATATAAACTTGTAAAGCTGATAAGCCAGTTTTATTCCATTTCATAAAACCAAATACTGATTTTAAACTTATTTTGTGACAAAGATATCTCTTTCATTGTCTCAGGATGGATAATCACGAACTTCTCTTGATTGATTTGATCTATCATTTGTTTAATAATGACTTCCTTCTATCAATTTCTTAATGTTGCTGAGCCATCTTCTTTCTATGCCCTTAGCAGAATTTTTCTGCTACTGGGCCTTTTTTTACCCTTGCATACTTCAGGAAATTTCTGTTCCCAATACTGCTTATTAATTCCTTCTAACCCTTGTATCGTTGATCGAAAAGATTTAACCCACATTAAAATATATAAAAATCAAACATACCATGAAAACATGTCTGATCAAATTCACATTGCCATAAATGTCTGAGATTGACTCTGGAATGACAGGAATAGAACTCACCCACCAACCTAATTTTATAGATATTTATTTAAATAATTATCTTATCAGATATAAAAATAATAATTGGAACTTTAAGATCTGGTTAAATCTCTAAATTTAAAAATATTTCATTAAATTTAGGCATATTAGACAAATTTTCAAAAATATATATATTTTTTTGATGAGGTGTTTATTTTGTAAGTAATTAATTTTATTTTATTACTAATAAATTTTAAAAAGAATAACCTATCTTTAAATAACTAATTTATAAAGGTTACTTCAACCTAGATCCTTGCAGGGTATTGGACATAATTTTAGAGGTGTTTTCTCACAAGCTTTTGGAATCTGATTGCTTTATATTTTTCATCAAACTCATAAAATACTATTGGAATGAACCCAAAGTTATCATACAACTCCTGGCATTTCGTTTTAATAATTACAGGGTACAATACACGATAGCCAATTTTATCAATTTAGAAATTTAAAAAGAATCACTGAAAAAATAAATTTATATTACATCATACAAAAATATTAAAATAATTTAACCTCCTTAGATTAAAAACCAAAATCCGCCACAAGCCGTTTATGACGTTACAGCCTTACTTATCATAAATGGAATACTGGAAGTTGCCGACATATATCCCCATGTATATTTATAATATCTGTGAATTTGTTAGCTTAAATTTAAATCTTATTTTTTTTTATTATAAAAATGATTTATAGATTATTTAATTAATGGTTATATTATGTGTTAAGATTAATACAATTCACCTCTTCACAGATCATAGTATTTTTAAATTTACTCACATTTTTTTAAAGTTATTGCCAGACGACAAAATCCTCCAGCTTTCCACCGATGCACGGGTAAACGAGATTAAAAGCTTCATAAAACGGCTCAACCCTACGAGGCTTAAGGAACTGGAAGATTACCAAGATACATGTATAGACAAGGCGGGCTTGGAGTTATGGACATACCCTCCTTCATTTACTTCTTTGGATGCTTCTTCCCAAAATACAAATCAATCCTCAAACACTAATCTAAATCTTAACATCATCACAAATGTTAATATCTTTGATTTAAACTTCTTATATATAGATTTATTCTAAAAAATTAACCAATTTTTATTTTATTATTCTTTTTTGCTCACAAATTTACCACAAACTATTGTAACAAAACAATTTTATAATTCATACGTTTATGCATTAATAATTCATACTTGCCTTTTTTAGGAAAACAACACAATCAACCAAAAATTAGAAATGGCCAGATCTTTGATAAAATTTGGTGGCTGGCCCCACTTGCATTACATGATTCAAAACCATCCTCACCTCTACATGTATATGGATTTAGAAATCATGTCTCACGTATGCAAATATTTGCAATTTGTCCTAAACCCTTTATATTTAAAGTTAGCAATTTACATGGATATATTTTTTTTTGAATTTCGATAATCTAAGAGTTATAATTATAAATTTGAGCGTCTTTTTTTGGGCACAGGTCTTTATATGGTATAACTTTGCTTTTAGTGCACATTGGGCTTCTATCTTTTTTCGAAATATGCAAAACACTACCATTAATATTGTTATCCAGCCTATACTTTCAATTTTAATATTCAAAAACTAGTGCTGTAAAGTAACTTCGATAGAAGTAATGTCTTTATTAATGCGCTTTTTTTGTAGAAAGAAACGCCATTTGTTACTTGCTTCAATTCTCGTTACTTAATTTTTTTTTTAAAAAAAATTTGGGAAAAATATATTTTATTTTATTATATATTAAATTTTATAAATAATTTAAGCCGAGTTTTTAATTCAGTTACCATAGTTCTTCATTTTTATTTTATTTATTATGTTTGTTGTTGAATCAAGATTGTTAAAACAAATGTTAAATCAATTAAGGCATGTTATTTATAATAACAAACCTGTTAAGAATGACTGGCTAACCAGACATTTCTCCTTTGATGATGAATCAGAAATTTGACTTTCCCTAATTTTTTTTATCTCTTTATTTGTAAAATGTTAGATGATTTATGCACACCTTATTTTAGATTGCATAGCTTGTGGGCAATTTATTATTGCCTTACATAATTATTTATTCATATTGAATGTACTAATTTCTGTATTAACGTTTTTTCTGAATAATGGAAAATTTGGGAACCTCCCCTCATCATAACATAATAATACTAAAATTTTAGTTCATACCTCCTAAACTAGGCAAATTTTTAATCATTCATCATTAAATGAAGCGAAATATTTGATTCACCTATTGGCTAGCTCCTAGTTTGGTTAGGTACTACCAAATTTATTTATAATATATATTTGAAAAATCGTGATTTTTGGAAAGCGTCTGTGGCCTAGTCGGAAGAGCGTCACATACCAACCCTATCTTTTTTAATCCCAGCAAATATCATGTATTTTTATTAATTCAACTTTGTGGTTCTGTCATTCGGGGATGATACATAGAAGACCGGACTCGACCACGTGATTCCATTATAATATATGTTAAATAATAAGTGTCCTATTACATTTTAATAAAATTTGATCGGTATTTAGCAAATTAAGGTGGTATTTAGAAAATTGCTATACGTTGACTTGGCAGTATCTATCATTAATCAATAAATATAAACCTAAAGTCTTCTAAAATAAAAAGTGTAAGTATATCTTAAGTGATAATATAAATCATCTCTCATCGAAATATAGGTTCATTTATTCATGATTCATAAAATAAATTGGATCTGATCAGAACCATGCAGAGACTTTTGGATGTTCAGAGCAATGATACCCCAATTTACTTAATCCTTAAAAAATTATGAAAGAACGAGCTTTGTTGATTTCAAAATAGAATTAGTAAATGATCATATGAATATGAATGAAATGTGGCAAACAGTAGGGCTGTATCGATCCACATATTTTTCACCGATCCAATATTTATACTGATTTTTCGCCATCCCCCATTGAACCAAATGTAATTGAGAAATCAATATTTTTTATCCAAAAATTGAATTATGAATTCAATTAATTTTTTTATTTCTACAATTAAGACTATAATTAAAAAAAATATTTAATATTATATCCATTTTATGTTGGTATGAATTATAAAATTGTAATATTTAATATATAAAATTATAATATATTAATTTTTTAAAATAAATATGAGAGCCTCTAGATTTTCTGGCTATAAGCATCTACGATATGGACTATATATATATCCCCTACCGTACTGAAGGCAGACTCAGATGATTCCACAGATAACGCATTTTGCAAAATTATCTTTGTCTTTTGTAAAATATTTCCATAATTCAGATACCATATTTAAAAAATTCTTTTATTAAAATATAAATAATAAAATTGGCGTTATCATTAAAAAAGATTTAAAATAAATAAAACTTTAGGTGTTCCTTACTATTTTTATAAAAAACTTTTAAAATACTATATATCTATTTTAAAAAAGAAATAAAATTTAGAGGGTGTTGTGCATTTGCATTGTTTAAAAAAAATTATTTAGAAAATATTATAATAAGGTAAAATAAATATACATAACATAAAATAACAAAAAAAAATAAAAGTAAAAAGATCGGATTGGGTTTTTACAGGTATCGACCCTATCCGATATTTTTGGAAAACGCTATATATTGGTGCTGATTTGATATTTAATATCGGCACAGCCCTAGTAATCAGTTACTTCTATCATTTCAAAACAGACTTTAAATTTGATTTCTTCCTTATTTTTCTGTCTGCTATGTTGAAATTTAACCCTTTGACGCCCAACTTTTTATTAATTTAAAAAATTTTTTTTTTTTATAAATTATTCATTTATACACTCCATAGATGCCTAATATTTGTTTCAACTTAAATATACAGTTAAAAAAAATGATGATGCCAAATCAAATCATCAGGCTTTTGTGTAATAAAAAAATACAAATATTTATTTATTATGAAAATGTCGAAAACAATTTCTAAATTGATTAAAACAGAAATATATATTACATTTTCCACATTTTGTTCTTGAGTATGCATTTATGCATAACTTGCACCTTTGCCTAGTTTTGCAGGAATCTGGCCAATGACCTATGTTATCATATCTGATATCAGATATAGGAGCCATTATAGAAGAAATTTTTTTTTAATCGGTTTATTTAAAGGCCTCCCTGATTTTCTTTTGCTAGTTTTTCCTGCCGATAACAATGCTTTAACAATATGTGTTTTAAATTGTATAAGTTTCATGATTTTATTCTCCTTTTCATGGCATATTTGCCGTTTATACAAAAGCCATGAATTTACTACACACATATCTATGAGATGAAAAATAATTCTTAAGTAGAATCTTTTTCCTTTGATATCTACTCTATAGCATTCAACAAGCATATTGTGTAAATCGACTCCTCCCATACCTTCATTATATATTTTTAATACATTTGGTTTTGGAACTTCAATATATTCTTTGTTACTCAGTGACCATCTTTTTACATTTACTACCAGATGAACACCGACAAATGTTGAGATGATGTGCACAAATTTATTGTCATACCATTTGACAATTATTATATTTTCTTTTTTATCAACTTTATATACATAGTTCCCACGACCTTCTTTTTTTAAAGTCTTTATCACATTTTAACTTGCAATCTTTCAAACGATTACTTCTAATAGTCCCTACCATAAATATACCTTTTTCTTTTAATTTTTTAGCCAATGCTATTGAAGAAAAATAATTATCGCAAAAGAGTTTATGATTTTGAAATTTCGGGATATTTTTAGCCAATTGAAGGACTGTATCACCACTTATCCCTAATTCTGAGGGTGTTGGATTAGTTTGCTTTCCCGCATAAATCTTAAATTCATATACAATACCGGATGATCCAGCTAATGCAAAAATTTTGATACCCCATTTGTGAGGCTTTGATTTTATATATTGTTTTAAAGAACTCCGCCCTTTAAACGGGATGATTAATTCATCAACACATACTCTTTCCTCCATCTCTATTTTTTGCATATTATTTTGAATCTCTTTAATAAATGCCCTAATTTTAAAACATTTATCATATCCATCTTGATTTCTTGGGATAAGTTGAGAATTATCATTAAAATGTAAATATTTTTGCAATATTTGGAACCTGGTTCGAGACATAGTTTCCGTAATTTGAGGGAACGCTAATTCTGCAGACCAATACTGTCTATATGAAGGAACTTTGACCAAAGAAGAAAAAAGATGTATGCCTATAAATTGTTCTAATTCATTTATATCTAGATTTAGCGATCGATTTATTTGCTGAAAACTGTATAAATTACTTTGTTCACATATATTATTTAGTATTTTAGTATATTATTTGAAATAAATAATTTGAATTATTGATACAGAGTTAATATATTGGTTGAAGTGGAAAATTTATTAGCATAATTTGTGTACAATTGATGTATATCACCTACTCTCCATTTCATATCATTTTGAATGATTAATGTTATTATTAATTTCTCTATCCTTTATCTCGATTTGAAGATTATTAGATATTGGAGTTGATGAATTTGAAAGGGAAATCATCGTAGGAGTATGAAAATTAAATTCCTCATGATTTGATTCATCGATATCAGCTTCCGAAATATCTCCCTCCACTATTAATAAATTATTTGGCATCTATAAATTATATAGAATCATTTTAAAAAATATATTAAATGTAAAATTATAATACAAGTCAGAAGATATAGGTCTTATGAACGCCAAATTAAAAAATGGTATGGTCTGATTGGATTTAGAATACATTTTATGGTAAAATTTCATTATAACTATAGAAAACCATTATAAATATAAAACGAAAAAAAATATTTAAAAGTTGTATTCTAAAATCCCATTGACTTATTTTGTCATCATGCACTTTGAGTTGATATAAAAAAGAGCATAGTCATTTTAATAAAATAATTGATCATAATATTATACTCTTACCTTTAATAATTAATAAGAATTTTAGGAATAATATATATTTTCCACAGAATATGTTTTATTGTTGTTATAAAATCGTAAAATTCAGTAAAATGGAAAAAAAAATTATGAAAATATAATTGGTTCAAATTTAAAAATAAAAAAATATACTATTAATTTTAAGAAAATGCGAAAGTATTTTTATTATATTTATATCATATGATTATATCATATGATGTTAAATTAAATCTATAGGCTTTTATAAATTTAAAATATTTAATTATATTACATGATGTCAAAACAAATCGTGTGACGTCAAAGGTTTAACCAAATAAAATAATTCGATTTTTAATGAAAATAAATTACCCCTATCCTGCTAGTCCAACTCAAAGACATTCCTGTAACATAAATTTACTGATTCTTATTCTAAATATAAATTTATTGGTTATTATTCTATACATGAATTTGATTCTATTATAAATAAATTATATATATATAGTTTATTGTTTTTATTATAAATAAATTACTTATAAATATTGATTTGTATCATCAGTGCTAATTTCATATGATATTGTTCCACATTTATATCTAAATGTTACAAGGCTAAAAATTTAAATTTTAAAATATATTGGGTTTCATCCAATTAATGTCTATGAGATAATGAGTCCTCGAGTTGATCTACTATCCTATATCAAATCTTTTACATATAAGCCAATCATATCCTTATTAGTTACCCCCATTTTCACATCAGCAGTTGTATTTTTTAAATTGGTTATTTTGGTAAAATATTTATCCCTTCATCATATTCTTAAATTATATTTTATATAGCAAATTTTATTTATACAAACCATATTCCTTCATTATGAACAAATAATTGATAAATATTGATCATTGTATATGAAACAGTAGGTCTTTCAGCTAGAAAATTCAATCAAATAAAAAAAATTCTGAAGCATAATTTATGTAATATCTCTAAAAATAATGAAATTATAATTTACCTTGAAATGCAGGGTATGGATCTGATTAATCCACCATTAAAAAGAGAAAAACAAAATATAGTTTAATTTTAAAATAAAGTAATTATGGCAGCAATAATATAAGCGGATATATCATTAGAGGAAAAATATGATCCAATAATATTGTAAGAAAAGTTACCCAATAAAAAGGTATTGCATTTGTTTCATACATAATAAATATATTGCTGTTATTTTATAATATGCATCAGGGTGCATAGAGAGAATTATTGCCTTCGAGGCTGGGTAGGGCATGGGATCTGGTTGTTGGCATTTCCAAAGTCAAATCTTATTTTAAAACCGATTCCGAACTCTTTGGTCGACTGGATTGGCTGGGTGGATAGATTGAAAATTTAACATTTGGTTATATAGTCTCTCTTAATGTGTATAATATATATATAAATTTTTAATTGGTTACTTTTCTTTTAGATGCCTAAAAGTTTTTCTAGTCTTCACCAATTTAGGTGTCTAAAATTTTCTTGTGTTATAATGCTAGTGATTATGTAACCCATTTTTATTATTATATTCATCAGTTAATAAATAGTTTTGTTATATATGTTGGAATTGATTCTATAATGCAAAAGTAAATATAGGTGTTGATAGCTGGAGTTTACCAGCCGGAAACACTGGGCTTATGGGGGCCTTTTGCACCTTCATGGCTATATATGTTAGAATTGATTAAATAAGAAAAATAAAAATGGATGTGGATGGCTGGTTTTTATCAGCTAGAAATACCCACAGGGCGTGAAGGCACCTTTTGCACCTTAGGCCTCCATTCCTTAATTCAAGTATTTCAACCTGGATGTTTTGTAGCTCTAATCTAAAAAAACATCAAAGTAAAAATACGAATACAGATAAAATTCTGATAAAGATAAAAAAAAATTATGAGGATCTGGATGAAGGTTCTTAAGATGATCTAATAAAATATTTTGAAAATAAAGATCATTCTAATTTTTCATTTATTATTATAATACAACCCTCCCATTCTCTGCACAATACGAAAGTTTTGATAGCCATCCATCCCCCCTTTATTTTTTTTGATTTAATAATATTGTTTTAATATTTTATATTAGCGACTATAAATAAAAATAGTATAGTATTCCAAATAAAAAAATCTAAAAACGAGCAACGTGTTACCTTTTTTTGAATAGCGAGTAACGGTAATTTGTACCTTTGTTCAAACATTAAAATTAAGATTCTTCCGCTTTTTTAAATCACATTCTAAAAATTTAACAAATTTTAATTTCTAATCAGACTATAACCAAATTTATATAGATATTAAAACTACCACATAAACAGATGTGCCAAAAAGGTCTGCCCTGTTATCAAATCTTCCACGACTCCCATCGTATCCAACATTACCTTAGCCATTCTAAATCGTTCTAGCAAAGTTAACGATCTTCCCACTTTTTTCGCCCGTTATAAGCCACTGATCGATTTCTTGGGTCCACTAATATATGACCGTTCTAATCTTCTGGTTATAAATCAACTTGTCCGAGTTCTCGATCATTATCTTGCCACTAATTCATTAAAATTTTCCAACGTACTACGAAAATATAAATTAATGTTTTTTGGCTGAGAAGGGGGGGGGGTGTTAAATGAATTGCTATATTTGAGAGTGAAAAAGTATGGATATCAATAAAATTTAATATATGCTCATTAGTGTTGTTAAACGGCTCGATGTTTAAAAAATCCAATATCTTTGCCAAAAAACATTATGCAAATCTGGATATTTGTCTCAAGGATGGCAGAAAGGTTTAGACATCTATTAACGAAATCTTGAAGTTTCCCTAATATTATTTTGGCTAAAATTAAAATAAAATTGGTTACGTCTAACTACACTAATGTTAATATAATCTAGAATGGGAACATTATTGATTATGTTTGGGTTATTAGATTTTAAAATTATTCTTTATTTGCAAAACTATTAGATTGATACATGTGAAAGTGACGTGACCTACTGCGATATTCTAGACACTCTCAGGTGCTCCCTTCTCCCTTCCCTCTCTCAATCGTCTTACAATTGCTGTCTATCCGAATCAATAGGACGAATGATGAAACATATCCATTATCAGCATAGGTCTTTTTATGATCAAATATGATATATATTAACGAAATATCAACGTCAAGTTTGCTAATAAAATATTTGAACCATCCCATTTTAATTGGACGGAAAATCTATTCTTCTCACTCGCTTTATTTCTACAATAAGCTTTCTTTTTGAATATAAAAAACCTCGCTCTATGCAGCTGTGTAAGACAATATCAGGATCATAATTTGGACATAAATGGTTATATTGAAAAATCGTTCTTTTTTGAATTTCTCACCCCCCCATTATATTATATTTAATTTGGTTTATAGCTTTGATATGTCAAAAAATTCAGAATATGCATAATTTAAATTTTCCAACGAATTTTGGAGAAACCTTGAGTATAATTGAAATAGTGTTGTTAATTGGTTGGTTGTGTAAAAACCATACTCGGGGTTTGGGTCTAAAAATCGACTAAACCAGTTCTGAGCACGAACCCCGAGCACAGACCTTGGGTTCAGACCCAGAGCAAAAATCAATTTATAGTTGTTTTTTGCTGATAGAAAAGTGTATATTCAATATATATCAACCGAGAGCCAATCAAAAGATCTATTCATTAGGAAGACAAGCATTTCCTTTCGATTGGCTAATAAGGCTAGGGAGGTCAGGAATATTTTTATTAACATTTCTCCCTCAATTGATCATAATACTCCGTTTTCTTTAAAAGTCAAAACAAATCTTTTCCTCTTCAGGAATTCATAGTATCTTATATGCATTAAAAATTTATATATAAAAATTATTACAATTTATTCTCTTGATTTATTATAAGTTGTTTTGTTTATACCATTCAAATTAATTTTTCTGAAATTCGCACTTTAAATTTAAAATAACATACTTATGTATTTTATTTTTCAAATTTTAACAACTTATATAATTATATAGCAGACATGTCAAATCCAAATATCATAAAACTTTTTTTTATGTTTAGCAAGAAAATAAATAACTTCTATTTATGGATCCCTTCCTTATCCACCCTTAATATAATATATATTGTTAATATTTTCCCCGGAATTGGGTCGTAAATTTTACGACCAAACAAATTAACAAGACTAAATTGAAATATATAATATATTAATATCAAATAATTGGACAAATTTAATTTTTTTTTATATCAAAACAGGAGTCAATTTTATTTTAAAATTTTCTATTGCACTACCAATTTTAATTATAGTTTTTAAATTTAATTTGAATAAAATCGGATAGAAATTTAAATATGTATAAAATAATGGCCAAAAATATAAAATCCCCTTTTCCATTTTCCTTTAATTCGACCTTATTCTATATTTTTAATTTTAGTAACAACAATTATGTATTTGTTTCCCGAATCTCTATTGTTTATTTTTTTAAACTAAATTATTGTATAAGGAGAAGTAATTTCTTAAATTTATGTATATTTTTTTTTATTACCTCTTAAATTTGAGCATTTTCTAGGAGATATTTTTTCTAAGATCGATATTAGTTTGATCTACAACATTGAGATTCTGCATGACATTTACTATCCTTTTTTTAATACTGTGAAGAAAATAATATTATATAAGGACTTTGTTATAGGTGTGGTATTATTTCTAGCAAAAGAATAATGTTTAACACATTTAAAAAGAATATTCATTAATTTATATAATAAGAATTTTCAATTTTGTTATACACGTGACAAAATAGATACAACTTATATAGTAATTGGAAGGCGCCAGTATCGCTAACAACAACTGACGACGAGTACCTTTTAACACATGGAGACGTTATGGTGTCCAAAATCAAAACGAATATCAAATCCAAATACATTATGAGGTTCGATTTGCATTAATATTACTTGCATATTTTCTAGTAGGTGGCAATGATTATAAGCCAAAAAAATTGATATTCGTTTATCTTTTTCTCCTCTTTTGTAAAAATAATAAAAATACTTGAAAATATTTTTAAAAAAATATCCGGGTCAGGCCTGAAAATTTTTTAAAAATAATATCCAGGCAGGGCTGTATATTTTAAAGCCAAATATTTAAAATCCATTAGCTATAAAAATCAAAAATATATTTAAAAAAATTTTCAGGACCTTGCTGGGCCTTAAAATTTTTGTTTAAAAAAAATCCGGACCAGGTCAAGCAAATGATACCTCTGCAGGTCTCTGATATATAGTTTATTTTGATAATTTTTTATAATTCATAAATAATCTGAATTACCATTTTCAAACTCAATAATCTATTTCAAAACTTAGATCTATCTTTATTGGAAAATATATAATCTTGTCATTTTAAGGCGATTATCAAAAGACAACATAAAGCAAATGGGTCGTCAAATAGGCAAATTAAGCCATTCCAATCCTGGAGTTTTATTTGAACACGTAATTTCGTTTAGATAAAAAAATTAGTTGACACTTATAACGGATACTTTTATTTAATGTAGGTTCTCAATCAAATCCAATATTACGAAAATTTGATAACGCCTGTCATAGACACCTTACGTTACATAACTTCTCTATCCTTCGATATTTTGATGTGTAAGTTGTTATTTTATATTAAATTCAAAATTCATGCCTTTGACTGAAAAGACGAATTTCGTTTTTCTTAACCTATTTCCATAACATTAAAATTAGTTGTGACCTTTATTATTCAAAATGAGAGGCTTCTCTCAATACCCTCTATTGTCTGGCTGGATTTATGTCCTTGAATAAAAATATCATATCCCTCACTCATTGTCACTTATATTTAAATGCATTAGTACAATATTATCTTTATACATTGAGGCTTTTCCGGATATTCTTATTGCTCAAAACAATATATCTGGTTTGTCTACAATATGCTCAAATTTTTAATCCAATTGAGATGAAATATTTTATTCCAATAAAATCGATCAAGTTTTATGGCCCTCTTTCAAATTGAATGACTTTACATGATGATTATATATGTTGTGAGGACCTATGCATTTTAATTTTTAAGCTTTAACTCAGTTATGTAGATATGGAAGGTCAAAGCTAAAAAATGGCGTCCTTCCTAATTCAAAAAAAAACCGATAAAAATAAAGATTGCTTAAGAAATATACAGAGACATATATATTTTATCATTAGATAGCCCTTGAATCCCTTTCTTAAAAATAATTTAAATTTTTTTAAATCTTATGTTTTTTATCCGGAATAGGTAAAAGTCGATTTTTTAATATCTGCTCAAACTTAAAACTTTTTAAAATTTGAAATGTATAAGGAGGGGAGGGCTTTTTATTTCAGCTAACAGTTAAAGTAACAAACTGTTAACTGGATTAAATCTACATTTTAAAAATTCTACATATAGACTCTCTATGAAAATTATTATAATATAAAAATCTACCAGTACAACGCTATTTTATAACTCACACTATTTACCAACACAACCCTAAAACTAAAAGTAATAAATTTTCAACTGTTAATTTTATTGGCCAACAAAATGTATATCTACTAAATAAAGTTGTTATAATTCCTTTTATACCTTGTTGGCACAAAGAAAGTAAAATGAGAGGGCCATTTTTAAATACAATAAATATTAAGAATACATATATTACTCGAATACACGAGTACACAATTTTATTTTTAAATAATAATATAACACGTTTTTTTAGTATAGCATTTATATATCAATCTCTTTTTAATTAGAAATGGATAAAAGAAAATGTGCTCGCTCTAATCCATTTAATAAAGTAAAACATAATTATATTAAACAAATTAGGAAGTCACAAATAATATATTAATGAAACATCGTTTTTTTAAACTAACGGATTACCTTTGTGACCTATATAAAAAGGAATTAAAGGAAAGTAATGCCAAATGTAGCTCCGACATTATTTCTGATTCTATAAAAAGTTGCATTGAGGACATTAATGCTTCATTGCAACATATCAATCAAATATCCAAAAGTCAAATAAAAAATTTACAAGAGGCATTAATATAAAAGGTATTTGGGACGGAACAACTAGAGACGAATTTAAAAGATGAACCTTTATGCACAATGATGGGCACACAAGCAGTTATTCTACTAGATTTGAGAACTATTGAAGCAAAAATTTATTAAAATGCTCACTAAGGTAAAGTGGAAAATATTACAAGATACGAGATTTATGAATGATATTAATGGTAATGTAACTTTTTTATTATAATCTCTGGTGGTTGATGCTTATTGTAGATAAAAATGAAATGGCCAAAGAAGTGCAAGTTAGTTTTCTGTGTCCACATTGACCCTCTCCATGCTTCATTTTTCCACCTAATGGAGATAAATTTTATGCCTCTATCAATAACATTATAGGTGTAAATTCACAAACTCTGCAGTTTGGTTTTCATTTTTTTTATAAAAATGCTTTTTTGATAACAATTTTGAAATATAGTCATTATTAGTGTTGCGTAATCGGCCTGCATTGACTAATCATCCGTCAGCGTTCTGTAAGATATGTCTAGCTTTAATTATTATTTATTTTATTTATATTTAAATATTTTATTATTATTAACAAAAAAACTTATGATATGATTTAACATTTTATATTTATATTATGAAATAAAAATGGATTTATTTATTTGATGTTTTTTTAATAAAAAAATGATATGCTGCTTTTGTAATATTATTTTTGTTACATACAATTTATTAGTGATTTTCACCAGAGTTGTTAATCGCTACTTTCAAAAGTAGCGCGCTACCGCTATCACTATTTGTCAAAAAAAGTAACGTGCTATTAGCTACTTTTTAAGCTTATCTTTATAAAAAAATTAGAAACAAATTTGTTTTATTTTTTGCTTATAATGTTATTGTATAGTAAATATATAAAAATCAACATTTATAATACATACTAGACATCTTATTATTATTCTTATGATAGAACGGTTATTATCTATACATTCTTTCTGGTATATTATAAATCGTAATATGGAATTTTTATTGTGTGAAAGTGTGAAAGCCTTCCATAATCGGCCATCATATGTGTGCATGTGAAGATTCATATGATCATTATCAGAGTCAGATATTATATTTTCTTCTAACACATTTTCGTTATTATTAGTAGTAGTACACTTTTAAAAAATAATCTATTTAATACCCTATATAAGATAAGTATAAACAATATATATTTAATAAAAAAAATTACTTTGCTTTTTTTCTGAGTAATATTCTTAAAAGCTACTATTTCAAAGCTTTTCTTTATATCATTAAAATTAAGCCCACCATGTCTTTTTCTAATGTGGTCTGTCCATTTATCATCTTTTATATTATGCGATGTGCAATTTTTAATTAAGTATTTGTATTTTTTTAGTTAATATTTTTGGTTATTTTGAAATTGGAAAAATAATTTTTGACAAGAAATCTGGGATAACAATTTAATTTACTAAACATCGACCAAAATTTCCGTCAATTCATTAAATTAAATAATAATTGGGGGGGGGGGTCTTATTACATACATAAACCAGAAATCAATTGGTTATGGATGGATGGATGTAGTAAAACAATAAAAGAATTAAATTTAAAAAAAACACCCCACTCAAATTTTTAGAAGCAGTTGCTTCGGATCCATCCCCCTCCTAGGGTACATCTTTACTGAAATTTTATTTTTGCCCATTTGCGTCAAAAAAATTCAAAAATCTTTAAAATAACGATTATGACAATTGTTACATGGTACATCTTAATTAAAATTTTAATTTAACATGTTAAAAATACAGATTTTTGCCCATTAGCGTCAAAAAATTTTAATATGCTTATAAATATTGATTATGATAATTGTCATTTCAAGGAACATCTTTATTGAAATTATAATTTTATATCTTTACAATATAAATTAGTGATCTGCATCGGGCCTAATTTTTTAAGCCCGGCACGAACCCTAAATTTTTTTTAAAAGTTTTGCTGGCCCGAACCCGAAATTTTTTTAAAAAAATTTACCGACCTGGCCCAGCCCGAATTTATTTAAATATAGAAATTAATTTTTATAATTACTCAATAAAAGACATATTTCAATAAATAAAATTAAATATTTTATTTTACATAAAAAATTCAATATAATATAAAAATTTCCAAGGTCCGACCCTACCCGGCCCGAATTTTTTTTAAAAATATTATCCCCGGCCCGAACCCGATTATTTTAAATAAAATTAGGCCCGAGCCTGCCCCAAAACCCTTTCGGGCTAGGCTGGGTACGGGCTGGACCTAACTTTGCAGATCTCTAATATAAATATTATTTTTACCCTTTTGTGTCAAAAAATTTCAAAATGTTAAAAAAATAACGAATATGACAATTGTCACATTAAAATATTATCCTTAAAAAGATCTTATAAAATAACATAAAGTTTTATATAAATATTTTTTTAAAATTATTTAGAATAAACCCACCTCTTTCAACATACTTAAAAAAATAGAGCCATTTCTCGGGCCAAAAAAATTCGGAGTCCGAGTTTAAGGGCATTAATTTTTATTTTTTTTTATTTTCGAATATATTTTTCTCTATCAATTGAAATATATAAAAAAAATTGTATTTTTTATATATTTGAGCCAAAACAAATGATAATATATTTAAATGCTGATCAATCATAGTTATTTAGTAACAAATACCATAATCTCTTAAAAATATTAAAAAATTGTATATTTTTTTACATTGCTTTATCCAACCATTTTCAAGATCAAATGCATAATTTTGCAAAATCACGGCGAGGGAGCTTCTATCAGTTGTTATATTTTTCTAAATTTACTTCCCTTTAGATTGCCTTCTGGAATCACTTTGCAGAGGTCGGTCCTTGTCCACTTCCATCACCGCAGGTCCTATCCTCGATCGTGACGCTTGGTTTTCTAATGCCTGCTCCTTTGCTGGTAGTGTTGTCAAAAAATATGCGGCATGTGACGTCACTGGACTACTCTATTATGCTGTTAACGGTCTCAAAGTGGCGGCCTTCAGTGGAACCGGATTTAGAGGGCCCGTGACTGACCTTAACGAGTCGGGCAAGACCGAGATTGAACCTGGCGAGACCGAAAATCTTAGTCGGACATCGCAAAGAGGTTCAGAACTCCTGCTCGTATTGAAGGAATTGGTTCACAAGATGTCGGGTATAGAGATGAATGACACGGCGTCAACGCGGGAACAGATTGAGGCCTTGAGTGGAGGCGACCTACTCAAATCCGAGGTATTATTTAGTATCACAATTTCACCACTTTATAATGTGTATCGGTATTAAGTAATTATATGCTAAAATAGTATATAGTCTAATATGATAGCAACAAAATCCATTCCAATAATTAATATTAATGTGAGATCAATTTTATTTTCTTTGTGGAGCTTGATAAAAGGTTATAAAATAGAAAAAGGCTATGTGTATTAGTAAGGGATTATAGATTTTAATCAACCATCTTCCACCTATTTGTACACTAATTTTCTTTGTGGAGCTTGATAAAAGGTTTTAAATAGAAAAAGGCTAAGTGTAATAGTAAAGGATTATAGATTTTAATCAACCCTCTTTCACCCCTTTGAAGTAACATTTTATTAAATCCCACCAAACTGTGCAATATAAATTTATATCTTGATTAGAGTCTTCTTATACTAATTCGTTAACTTCGTTTATACATATTATAACATAAAGGAGCTTAAAATGATGTTTCAACTAATGTGTGATTATTTTTTAAGATTGTAAAGTAGGAGGGATTAAAACAATTATATCCCAGTGACTATACCCTATTGAAAATTTCTCAACCCCATTTAAAAATAGGCTGGTTACTTTTCCCAAATACGCAACACTAAGCGTTCTTCCCAGCGATTGAAAGAAAGCCTCATCAACTCCGACATTCTGATTCCCATGGCCATCCTCATATCCCAACAAAGGGATTGCGAAATCTTCAACCCTACCTTGCCTCCTATAAACGATAACAATAATGAAACGAGCGTTACTACCAATGATTCTGATCACATTAAATTGCTAGGAAAACTTTATGACCAGGTAAATATGTATTTTTTATTACGTTATTAAGTGGGGGTTGCTTAATTTTAGTGTCATTTGGTAGTCTTATCTTATCAATTCATGAAGTCTCAATTTTTGATTCAAAATTTTTAATTAAAAAATAATCATTAAATCACCCTTTCTTGAAAATATTTCATTTGTATATAATTATACAATTATAACAGATTTAATGACAAATGAAATTAAATAATAAATGCACAGATATAGCATAAGTCATCATCTTTCATTTTAGATCTTGTAACACCCTTTTTTAATTGAATTATCTCTTAAATGCCTTTAGGTAAGGAACTAATTAAACCTTTCAGTATATCTCCAAATTTCTAGAATTTTTTTTATTTAAATCTTTTGTATGTGGCCGTTTTCCTATCTGTTACCATACTCCATTGAGATAGAATATTTATGTTATTAACCAATTTTTGATAAATTTAATCTTATTACAAAAGACCCTAGTCCTTATGGAAAACAAAGTAGGCATATGAAAATAATGCTGCTGAGGTTGAGGTTAGATTTTGTAGAATTTTTAAATATTTTTCACCAATAATTATCACTCTCATAACAAAGCTCACCTTTCTTTTGCAGTCACGTATTACTCATATTGCTTAATATATTTATTTATTAATATAATTTTAACTGGGCAGTTGTCTGCCTATAATACCAATTATCAATGACGCAAAGCATGATTTTAAGAATCCAGGCCTGGGCTTAAAAATTTATAAAATAAAAAATTTGGGCTTAGCCAATAGAAATTTTAAATTATATTAATTAATCAGTTGGGAAATTATATTGGAGCTCATTTTTTCAATTTTCCTTTAGAACAAATTTGTAAAATATATATCCAAAATAACGATTTTAAAAAGAATTTGCCAGAAAATGATCAAAGTCTGGGCTGAATCAAAATAATCTTGGGCCATGTTTGAAAATGAGATATTTTTTTCAAATCCCTAAATTTTGATCTCTGCAGGTTTTGATAATCTATAAATCATATCAACAAAATTTGGACTGAATTGTCTGCTCACTCTTCATCCTAAGAATAATGAGCTCATGATAAAACTTGCCTTAACAACGCATTTGTTCTTGAATTTTTTTGCAAATATTCTTCAATTAAAATTTACACTATTCAAAATATATATTTTTATACCTTTAAAAAGCTTCATAAAATATATTGTCAATAGTTTTTTATTTTATTTTCATTTAATGCATACTATAATTATTCAATTTAACTTATATAAGTATTCAACTGACCTTTAAAAATACTTTATATTATTGTATGACAAATATATTATTCAAAAAACGTTGAATATTATAACCTTTTAAAAATAAAACAATAACATATATCATCATACCAGTTGTCAATCTTCGATCTAAAATTTAATATCCATACAATTTTTCAAAAGAAATTACAAATAAACCTTCTTGGCCCTATTTATTTTTAGACCTTAAGAACTTTAATTACAGATATTCGTACAATATTTTATCCATGCTTGAATTCATGATACTTAGAAATTAAAGTTTCAAGTTTTCCTGATATTTTGGCATTTCCATCCTCAATACACATACTATTTTAACAAATGCGATTTAGCTATGCATTCCAGACTATTCCTCATTCTCACAAAAGCATAGACATTAAAAGAATCATACCATTCTCCTTTCTTACTAATTTTTGGAATTTAAGCAACTTGAGACAAGAATGTCCTGATTATTAAAAAAACTCAAACTTGTTTGTATTTGTTTTTGAAATTCAAAACTTTTGTTTTCCATCTTGTTTTTATTATAAATTCATAAATTTATTATGCAACTCTTTTCATCAGATTTATTTTTGAAATCCAAAAGTTTTCCATTGCTACAAATTTTTTTATTATCAATTTATTAATGTATTATACAACCTTTTTCATCAGGCACAAGACGCTCTCGTCCAATACGTTACATTCGTATCCACTAATTTTGCCGTCGAAGAATACGTTCATTTACTGCCTTCCCTCCCAGCACTTATCAATGATTACCATTTGGCCTTCGACGCAGCCTTCTTTATTCGGCGCCATTCGCTCGCTTTGACCCTCAAGGTATTACAGTAGAAACCGTTTAAATGCAAGGCGGACACGATTTTTTTTGCACTTTTTAAAAATAACCTTTCTTTTATTTTTGAATATTTGTCACCTTTACATGCTTGATATTTTTTATCTTTAAAATATTTTTCTTCATTTTAATATATTATTCCAATCTAATTTAAAACAATAGGGCTCAAAATTTTTTTCTCATTTGATTGCCACTCCTATTACTTGCAATGGATAAAACTTTATAGTAATGTAAATTTTGAATGTTATCTTGACTGAATTATGCGTTAGTAAAAGTGAAGTTCAATTTTTTCAAAATAATATTAGGAAAACCCTATACTTATTGGTTTCAGAAAAATGAACATTCTTTGATTATATTAATTTTATCAGGCTAAGCGTTCATCTTAAGATGTAATTAATATTATTATTAACGCAAAACATAAACATGGGTAAAATAAAAGTTAAATACAAAATATTTAGACTTCAATAATAAATATTATAAGCAGGGGTTAAATATAATCATTGCTTTTTAATAACTCATTATATATCAGAGACCTGCAGGCCCGGAACTAAGCCCGGCAAGGCCCTAAATTTTTAAAATATACCCAAACCGGGCTGAAATTTTTTTTTTAAAAATACCTGGGCCGGGTCGTATTTTTTAAAAAAATTTATACAACTGAATTATTATATTCGTCAATTAGATATGGTTTTATAATGATTATATATAGTTATGATGAATATAATGTTTGGTGAAAGTTGACACTAGCTAACACTCATAGTATCTATTACATAATAAAATTATAATTTTCCTGCCATGGAATAAAAACGCAAAGGATTAAATACATTATTATATAATATTTAATATATGTATATTTTTTATTAATTAAAATATCATTTTTATTTTTTTTATAAATACATAGTATATTCTCAAAATATTATTTACACAAATTTTTTTTGTAATATACTAAATATCTGTTTAGAATAAAAAAAATTAGTGTTGTTAAACAGCTCGTTTTGAGCCGATTTTTAAAAACGGCTAACTCAGTGTTTTATCCATAAAAATATTATGCAAGCCTGAAAATTTTGCTCGTAGAAGGAGCAAAGGTCTAGACTTATAGTGTCGAAATTTCGAGGCTTAGTCAATATTTATCTGGCGAAAATATTGAGTTAGCCGTTTTTAAAAGTCGGCTCAAAACGAGCCGTTTAATAACATTAGCTAATATACTTGCTTATTAAATGATAATACTCGCCGAAAAATATGATAAATACGAAATAATGAATTTTTTAATATACCAGGTCGAATATAATTTTAAAAAATTTCGAGCCGGGCCTAAAAAATTTTTTTTTTAAAATCCAGTTCGGGCCCCAAAAATTATTTTTTTTTAAATATTCGGGCCGGGCCGTACAAATGGTACCTCTGCAAGTCTCTGATATATATATAGCCAAAATTATTTGTGAGCAACTAAATCTAATTTGTAATATTTTTAAATCTCAAAATTTCAGTTAGATTTGAAACCATTGATTCACAAATTTTAAAATGACATAAATTTTTCTTATTGCAGCTATAAATTATTACACTTCTTTATAAGCAAATCATCTCTATTATTAAAAGATTTTTTAATTACTAGATCTCCCGCCTACTTAGAGTATAATTATTACAATCAAGAACTAGCTTTTATTTGATACCCTTATCGATATTTTATGTTGATAAAAATATTTCTGGCCCGCAAGACCTAGACCCGCCCAATATGAGTGATTATTATTAGTGTTGTGTAATCGGCTAATTTTAGCCGACTATAAAACGGCTTAGCCGAGATTTTAGGTGAATAAATCGGCTAAGCCTAAAAATCGGCTATGCCTAATTAGGCTAAGCCTAAAAATTGGCTAAAATAAATTAGTCAAAAATTCTGCATTGGTGCATAACATTAATTATTATTTATTATTTTATTTATATTTAATGTAAATATTTTAATATTATCAACAATTAAACATGATATAATTTAATATTTTTTTATTTATATTGTTTTATTTTGAAATGAAAATAAATTTATTTATTTGATGTTTTTAATAAAAAAAATAATATGCTGCTATTGTAAAAATATATTCTTTTTAATAATTTCACAATCTTCTTTGTAAATACATCTTTTATTTAGGAATTATATTGTAAATTTTATTAGATAAAAAAAATCTTTTAGGTGAAATCTTTTATAATATTTTTTTTATCAATTTTGTAAAATTATCTATTTTTTTATTAAATGAGGTGTTTTTTTAAATAATTTTTTAAAAATATTTATATAAAACTTTTTTGATGTTATTTTATATGATCTTTTTAAGGATAATATTTTAATGTGACAATTGTCATAATCGTTATTTTTAAAGTTTTTGAATTTTTTGACGAATATATATTAAAATAAGTATTGATAACATATTTAAATAAAATTTAGTGAAGATGTACCTTAGAAAAGTGACAATTGTCATTATCGTTATTTTTAAAGTTTTTTTTATTTTTTTTGGCGAAAATAGATTAAAATTATTGATAACATGTTTAAATAAAAATTTAGTGAAGATGTGCCATAGAAAAGTGACAATTGTCTTAATCGTTATTTTTAAAGTTTTTTGAATTTTTTTGACGAAAATAGTTTAAAATAAGTATTGATAACATGTTTAAATAAAAATTTAGTGAAGATGTACCATAGAAGGTGACAATTGTCATAATCGTTATTTTTAAAGTTTTTTGAATTTTTTTGTCGAAAATATGTTTATTGATAACATGTTAAAATTAAATTTAGTGAAGATGTAACGTAGAAAGGTACAATTGTCATAATCGTTATTTTTATAGTTTTTTAAATTTTTTTGAAGAAAATATGTTAAAATAAGTATAACATGGTTAAATAAAATTTAGTGAAGATGTACCATAGATAAGTGACAATTGTCATAAACTTAGGTTTTAAAGTTTTAGTATTAAATAGGCTAAAATAAGTATTGATAACATATTTAACATAAAACAACATTAGAAAAATCCAGGACAGGTCGGGCATGAATATATAAAGTACATATTAAAAATCCTGGCCAGGCCTAATTTTTTTTTGAAAAAAGGAGCCGGGACGAAATTTTTATATTTTAAAAATTAGGGTCATGCAAATAACACCTCTACTGCTATCTCATTAATTAATTTTACAAAAACCACATTTAAAAATTCCTAAACAACACTTAATATGAATAAAAATCACCTTTAAAAATATTTAATAAAAAAAATTTATTAATATTTACATCAAATTTTATGGAAAAATAGAAAAAAAAATGTCGAGTTAATAATTGATTATTTATCAATCAAATTATCTATAGCTTAAAAAAAAATAAATATTTGTATTTTAATTTCTTAACCTATAAAATTAATTATAACACTAATTTTAACCCATTTGCTTCAAAAAACTTAAAAATAACGATTATGACAATTGTCACTTATCTATAGTACATCTTCACTAAATTTTTATTTAAACATGTTATCAATACTTATTTTAACATATTTTCGTCAATAAAATTCAAAAGACTTTAAAAATAATGATTATGACAATTGTCACTTATCTACGGTACATCTTCACTAAATTTTTATTTAAACTTTCGTCAAAAAAATTCTTAAAACTCTTTAAAAATAACGATTATGACAATCGTCACTTTTCTACGGTACATCTTCACTAAATTTTATTTAAACATGTTATCAATACTTATTTTAGCCTATTTACGTCAAAAAAATTCAAAAAGCTTTAAAAACTACGAATATGACAATTGTCACTTATCTATGGTACATCTTCACTAAATTTTTTTTAAACATGTTATCAATACTTATTTTAACATATATTCGTCAAAAATAACGATTATGATTATTGTCACATTAAAATATTATCCTTAAAAAGATCATATAACATAACATCAAAAAAGTTTAATATAAATATTTTTAAAAAATTATTTTAAAATAAACACCTCATTTAATAAAAAAATAGATAATTTTACAAAATTGATATATAAAAGATTTCACCTTAAAGATTGTTTTTTTATCTAATAAAATTTATAATATAATTCCTCAATAAAAGGTGTTTTACAAAGAAGATTGTGAAAATCACTACATATTTTAATTACCTCTATATCAAAAAAAATTATTTTTTAAACACCCCCCCCCCCCCTCTTACCTCCTTACCCCCCAGATCAAGTCATGCCCATCAAGACAAAAAATGAATAGTTTCAATCTAAAGATATTTAAATTAGCTCTTATTTGATACCCATATAGATATTTTGTGTTGAAACCAGAGTTGTTAAAGGATCTAGATATAAAAATGTGGTATCTGTATCTAGATAGATTTTTGATTAAAATATCTGTATCTAGATATTATTTTAGACAGTGTATCTGTATCTAGATCCATTTTAAAAGTATCTTTTAACAACTCTGGTTGAAACATTACATGCATATAAATCGCGGATTGTTTTTCAAAATTTCCATCTGAAGGCATGGACATTTTATAGTTGGAACATAATGGATAGGTCTTATGTCTGGAAATTATTTTAAATATTCAATATTTTATTTGTTTCAAAAAATTTAGATACGAAATCATCATCAGAATTCTTCAGTCATTCTTCGTCATAAATTGAGATTTCATAATAGACTCCTTATTCTGAATTAGAGGTCATTGAACGGGTTTTTAGACCAAAAGCCCGCCCACCCAATGTTTAAAAAAATTTTAACCCACCTGCCTAGCCAGCCCATAGTTTTCAAAAAATATATACCCACCTGCCCCACCCATTTGTTAAAATTCCTTACCCGCCCGCCCATTAGTCTAAAATTTTTTACCCGCTCGCCCATTATTTAAAAAAAAATTTATCTTAAGTCCACTTATAAAATTTAATAAATAATATAATGGCCATTCTTTCAATTTCTTAAGCATCTAATAAAATATTTCAGCACTACACCTCTACAAAAAGTTTATAATTTAGAAAATTAATTTAATAAAAAAAAA